AGGAATAGTCATGATCTTTCTAGAAACTCCAGCGATGAAATTGATTATCAAAATGTAAACTATTTTGCACAAACTATGATATGGTGAAGTTTGTCGCGTCGGATATTCGCGCAAACTACACAAAGGCTATCTGCTTTAGCCGTCCCTTGAACCAAATAACAGTGAACAACTAGTCAACAACATCTATAGCTAATTTCGGACTATTGTAATCCAATATCGGGATTTGACCGTCTCTCTTATAACGCACTTATGTTTTTGCAGCAACAGGGTACGAATGACAGACCGATGGATCAGAAGTCGCTCATATAAATTGTTACATAAATAGAAACTAATGATCAATAGGTCAAGCGTCACCATCATTAGGCATAATATATCATAGCGATTGAAATGTGGGTTTGAAAATTTATCGCCCTAGGTTCATCCATGGTTTATTGGAGAATGATTCAGACAGGCGGTTGCAGTTTTGCGAGATGATGCTGAATGAGATCTTGGAGAATTCCGCGATCTTAGATCAAATTGTTTGAACAGTGACGGGTTTCAATTTGAACATCTGCGGGATTAACTTTCCCATAATTCCATGTCACGTGTTAAGTGCTGTTAAATAAATTATCAATCGTATATTTTAATTTAATTACTTTAAATACATTATCAATTATCAACTGTTTACCTTCTTTTAAACCATTTTGTACATTAAAACTCGTAAGTTATTTTGAGGTTAAGTTTAACAGTACATAGACGTGTACTTTCACTACCATCACTATATTCAATTGTGTTAACATCTATGCCTGTAAGCCATACATGCAGGCAAGCACACACACGTGACAGAATTGAGTATTCGTTACAATATATTTTTTGTATCAAAAATATACTCGAACAATGAAACTTAAGGGGATAATGAAATGAGAGAGCTCAACTAACGAAAATTTATTATCTTTAATGTTTTTTTGAAAATATTTTTATAAAGGGCAGTATTCTCTCCTAGTATGATATAACGCTAAATGCAAGTTTGAAATGGATCATCATTAATCAAAATATACAATTATCATAAGGCTAACACTTATGCACGTGAAAATGTTGACAGCACTTTACTACTACATAAAAAAAAATAATGTATGTAGCTCAAGAAGAACGATACTCAATAAAAGAATCCTTGATGTAAAAATAATGTGTTTAAATAGATAATTAACATTGTGTTATTAATCCTTACTATAATTCTGATTTGTAGATGACTCATAAAAATTACACTTTACCAACTTAATCCTTTTTTCTCGCCATAACAGCTTTTGTTCATAAAATTTGATAATATAACTAGCGAAGAGGCTACTACTCTGTTATCCTAGCTAACCTGATGAGCTCTGGTATTGGGTGAAAGGCCTCAGGGGCACTAGATACTGCAGATATGCCGTGTTTCACATATTTTAAAACATTTTTCTTTACTTTCTCTCTTAAGTTCTTAAAATTCTTCATACCCAATAGATGAAAATTTATGATGGGGATTTGTCTCAATACTTGTCAAGTCTGTACTCAATAAATCTAAATATTCTGAAAAGGAAATTTTTTCCTAGAACAGTTGGTTGAGTATGGAGATGTGGACTAGATATGAAACAGAAGATAAATGAAAAAAAGATTAGCCACAAACTGGATTTTGTTTTAAAATATTGGAAATATTAATGACAATTTTATTTCTGTAGTTACTAAAGGATCATAATTTTGTTTAATAATCATTACTTTAGAATAGTTAAATGTCTTTAATAATCCAAGAATAATTAATATATTCACATAAAATATGAAAAATATAATTACAATTTTCGGATGATTTATACGGAATACAAAGCTGGCATCATAAGTTATTTGACCTGTATTTTCATTATGGAAACAATTTTATTCAAACACTCAAAGTTATATAGAAAAGGCATTAAGAATTAATATTTTCAATGTCAAAATAGTGTAGTGATAAGAAAGTGAAATAGGTAATCAATACTTCTTTTAAAAGGCATTAAGAATTAATATTTTCAATGTCAAAATAGTGTAGTGTTTAGAAGGTGAAACAAATAATCATACTTCTTTGAAAAGGCATTAAAAATTAATGTTTTCAATGTGAAAATAGTGTAGTGTTTAGAAAGTGAAATAAATAATTATACTTCTTTGAAAAGGCATTAAGAATTAATATTTTCCATGTCAAAATAGGGTAATGATGAGGAAGTGAAATAGATAATCAATACTTCTTTGAAACTGAAACAAATATGTTTCCATGAAAAATGATCTAATTTATAAACTTACAAATTTGTTAGAAATATGAATTGGATGCCATTATGAATTTCTAAGTGCTTTTATTTGAAAAAAGAACTCAATCACTTGCTCACATTTTTCAATATACTGTCAAAATGAGCTACATTTAATACACCTAATTATACAAGTATTGTTTCTAGGCTTTCTCATATTGCAGAACCATTTTCATGGTTGACCTCATGTACTTCTAATCTTCTTCTCCTCTCTGTATAGGGATTTTTTTTGAACTAAACATTAAGAAAAAGAAAGCAAAAATATGAAGATTTTAAATGATAACATGAGAAAGAATTGTTTCAATATAATTCAACAATTATGTTAAGATATGATAAATTCACTTACACAAAATTTTCTTGAGCCATTAAACTCAATTTTTATAGGATTTGAAATAACACATGAAAAAATCTGAAGCAATGATAAGCAAAGATAAATATATACTATAAACTGGATTGTGTCTTTCAGAGTTTCTTGATTTTCTCCTTTCTACAAGTTCAAGAGCTATTTAAATTTTTCTCCCTGCTAGTGCCTCACTGCCAGCAAATTATGCACATGTATGCCCACTGCAATCTATATAAAGCTAAAAAAATAAATGCTGTATCTTTGCTACAGTTTGTAATGTAACTAAATTTGAAAATTTAACTTAAAATCTTAAAAAATCAAACATAATTTAATGATTTTATGGGGTAAAAATTTTCTCTTTATACAGTTAACAATTATGAGATAGATCAGTTTCCTGTATAAGTTTCTTGTATTACGCACAAGAGAAATCTACTATCTTGCAATTTTTATAAAATTATTATGAGCATTATTGTATTTACTTTGTGGACTAAAGCAACATTAAAGTTCAACAGCTGTTTTAATTTTCCCTCCTACTACTTCCTCACTGCCAGCAAATTATGTACTTGCATGTCACATGCTGAATTAATGAATGATAACTTTTAGTCTCTTGGTCAGTATTTCAACCTAATGAACCAGTTTGAGTTGAAACAGTTAAAAGCTGATTCTTTTTTTCATTACAATTCTCTACTGGCACAAAGCACTACTCACAGTAGTAGTCTGGTGTTATACTTGTATATTTTTTTTGTTTGACTACTTTTGCTCAAGATTTATATTTAAACTCAGTATACACCACATTGTAAACTGGGCAACATGAATAGTAAATTATACCATAAAATGAACTTAATAATTATTAAGTAATAATCTTAAATGTTATATTCATATACAAGAACATAAAAACAGTTGCATTAGTAGAATTCCACAAAAATAATTTGCTGAAACTTTAGAAATGCATAAACTGTTTATTTCTTTAAGTTAAAAACTTTATTTGTGACTAAGCTTTTATTTTAATCCATAGAAATGTATCCATGTCTTGCAAGTTTCTAAAAGATTATTTGTGAGAAACAAATATATACATGTACTTACATTTACATATATATATTTTTAAGTATTCATGTTTTCATTGGGTAATCACAAACTTGATGTTGAACTCTAGTAAAACTTGCAACACTTACTGTAAGGATCGTATTTAATAAACTCTAACTTGTCAGCCAATCTGGGCCTAGTGGTAACAATGTGGTGACCACTCACTATACTTCTCATCAAAACCATAATGAACCTACCAGGATAAAATAACTAAATATTAGATTACAAAAACATCAACTCTGGTGAAAGGGCTTAAATCACTCCACATAACTATGAAAAATTTATTATAAGAACAAAAGCCTTAATATTTTATAAATGGGGTAACTGTGCAGAAGTGATTTAATAGTCACATTCTTAGAATTTAGTATTCTGGTGAAGTTAATTTAAAATGAAGAAAATGAACAAATTTCTTGGTTTATCACCAAATAATGTTCACCATATTTAATCAATGCATTTTTTCACTAAAACTCTATAATTAGAATAGATTTTCATTAACATTAAAATTATGAGTGCTCAGTAAATATTAAAATAAAACAAATTGTTTACCATCTTAATTTTAATTCACATTTCTCTCTAACTGGTGTAAAACCAGAGTAAATTTTGGTAAGAAATTTAATTTGCTATACAAGGGAATATCAAATAATTTATAAGGTACCATTTGTTCTGGAAGTTATTTTAGAATAAAAACAAAACGTGAGTTCAACAGTGTCAAGTAGTTTTAACAAGTCATTAAATATATTGGATCAATAATCACAGTAATAATGATCAGACATTAAAAATCAATGAAGGTACTCATACAAATTTAATTCTTTAACTTATTAACCTTTATCATCTCCACCCATATATTTACACATGCTAGATATCATCTTCACCCGTACATCTATGCCAAGTATGATACAGGGAAAAAAAACCTTTTATGGATGATAAATGGTTAATTGTTTGTTTTTTGAATTTTGCACAAAGCTACACGAGGG